TCTGATGAAAATGAAAATGATAATATGTTGCCAGTCAAATCTTCAAAAAAAAATATGTTACAAACTAATACCAATAAAAAATCTATGATGCCGTCTACCTCTCATGAATTTAGTATGTACATTTATCTATTATATTTTATTTTTGGATTATAGCTGTTTGATTTATAATTAAACATATGCTGTCTCATAAAGCTATTATAAAAAAAAGTTTTAAATTTTCACAGGTGTCGAAAAATCTCCTCGTAAATGGTTTGTTAGGAAAATCTCCAGTACAGACGATATGGAAGAACATTATAGAAGTCCTATTCAAAAGGCATGGATCATAACTCCGTCTCCAATCAAAGAACTAGATGAAGAATTGAAAACTGTATCTTGTAAAAAAATGTTGAATTTTCATTCAGAACCAAAAGAATTCGATTTAGAGTCAACCTGTATACATTTAATTTTTAGTTTTAATTATTAAACTCAATAATTTTAGTTATATCATTATATAATATATTTGTTTTAGATAAGATGAACAAAATATACCGAATTGTACTATCTTTAAAATATGATATAAAAGAACTCTTATCAAAGGTTGATCGGTTGGAAAATCAAGGCAAATATGATGAATTTGAATTGGGCAACCAATCATCTGATGATGCAGTTTCATGGAATTTCCCTATCACTACTGTAAATGAAGTTTCATTATTTGAAAACAACTACAGGATAAAACATTTTGCTTTAAAATAGTAAATATTTTGTTTAATTTATATTATTATCAAACACAATATATTATGTATATATACTTCCCAATTACTATATTATAATATATATAGAGTTATTATTTTAGATTCTGAGCGGAGCTAGGAAGCTAGTGGTTTTACAATGGTGTTTATTTTTTTTATTTTTTTTTTTTATATCCTGTATACAAAATTTCTACCAGAAGGAGTGCTTTGATTTCAACATATAGTACCTTATCTTTTAGCAAATTGGACCAAGATGGTACTTTAGAGAGGTCATTTTCGATTTTCTCAATAGTTATATAATGCCACGGGAAAACCACCGAAAAATTACGAAAAACCATTTAAAATCGGATTTTAATTTCTAACGCTTTGTTTATCACCATAGAAACGAATAAAAAATTATAATATTAATTCAACTTACATGATATAATAAATAATAACTATATAAAATATCCAGACTGACAAACCGTCTCCGTTCAGAATCGTTTTCTTATACAATGATATTATATCATTGAATTCAAGTTAATACAATCCATTAAACAATGACCAACTTGTAACCTACTGTACAGCTGAGCGACATCCACTTACCTGCCTTTTTATATATGATTCCATAAATACATAATAAATTGATTACAGGTAAAGAATCTTAGTATGTTGGTCCGCAGTTCTTTGTCTGAAACAGTGCGCCATATTTTATCAAGAATGTTCGTTAATAGTGTAGAAATTGGCATTTTCTTCCTTAAATGCCTGTTCAGTTATATTTGGTAAGCATAAAAACATTAATGCCTGACAGGCTGTATATCAAATTAATTAATTTAATGGACCACAAAAACATGTTTAAGGGTCCATTATTGGTTCACTATTGATTCAATAAATAAAATTAGTGATTGTTCATGCAACCCAGCATTATTTTATAATTACTGTAGCTTACAAAATTGTTCCTCAACCAATTCTATATTGGTGACCTCCCAAGAACAAGTCATTATTATATTTATATATAATATTATCTCAGTAAACTATTATATATGTGTTTATATATATAATTTATATTGTCAATATGTATTAATACACATATTAATGGTGTATTATAACTGTTACAGATGCAATAAGAAACATCAAGTAATTTAAAGATGTCCCAGCTTTAAATATGGAAAAACCACCCAAAGATTATTTAGCAGGGGCTAAATCCAAACTGTCTCTTTTGTCTTTTGCTTCATTTAAATATAAACGTTGACTTTTTGCTGCTATGTTTATGACTCCAGTGGATTGTGGTTCTTTTCTCCATTGTCCAGGGATGAGTATACCATTTTCTAATACTTCAATATCTTGAATAATTTCTATTGTTTAATTTAAACCACTTTTTCTGATCCAATTGACGAGAGAACATGCCGGAGGAGTCATTCCGGCTGTTCTACGGGATGGTTGAACGCATCCTCTCACTGAAGGAAGAGGAGCGCGTCCGCCAGGCAGCAGAGGCTCGGCAGTGAGCCCCCGACACCGAATCCGGATATCTATTACTCGTTGCCAAAGATGAAAAGTAAAGATGAGATGTAAAGAATGGCAGGCGCCCGGAAGAGGAGCACGGCACCCAACCCGGACGCCGTCCAACCGCTTCGTAAGCAGATCATAGCCAAGCAGAGTCCAGGATGAACTAAGCGTCGCAGGAGGTCATAACTCCCCAAGCCGTCGTAACATTGGTTTTTTATTATAGTTCTTAAATATATATTTATTGTACGGTCCCTGGGCCTTGCCCGCTGGCAGGCATATATTAGACCAGCGATCGCTGTGGAAAGCTTGTCAGTGGGTTAGGTTAGGGACTATATTTGTTATTGATGTAAAATAAAATAACTAATTTGTGTTGTGTCAATAAACGATGGAAGCCGGAGGTGAAGTAATGCTAACGCGGTTCCGCCTCCGGTCCTCGATTCAAACCGGAAAAAAAAAAAGATTAATCATAACACTCATATTAGTTATTACTCATATGATATCAGTATAGTTTTAAAACAATAGGTGTATAATATCAACTACATAGGTATAATAATAATAATAGTGTATAGTATATAAATATTTACAATAAAAATATAATGTATAATATTTATAATATAATTATAATATTAAATTGTCTATTTCATAACATTGTAATGTGAATTATAATAAATATGATATAATGAACAAAATAGTACAAAAAACAACTATGTGAGCCGATAATAATGGTAAACAATTTACAATTTTTAAATAAAATAAAATAAAGTAATTATCCTAATAGGCAACTGATTTAATAATAATAATATGTATATACATACCTAATAAGTAATAACATTTAAACATTTACAATACAAAATGTTAAGGTTATAAATTATTTTTCAACTGGCATGCCTTATATTCAAGAAAATATAAATACAAATAACGATGGATATGCAAAATATACCTAACGTTATTTTAAAGAAAGTTTATTTATTAAACATGGTAGTAAAATACAAAAATGTAAAATAAATATTTTACTATGGTCTAATATTTATGCTATATTACTATGCTTTCATATTCTATAATGAATGTTCTGCACAATGGGCAATTATGCATATTTTCTTGTATCAACCGAAGTGCGGAAATATTGCAAAATGTATGCCCTCAAGGTCTTAATATGACAGATGTTAAAACATATTATATATAATTCTACAATAATATTATCTGTAAAATAAAATAATTATATTTCAATTGTTTGTATATATTCAAATTGGCATTATTGATAACTAATAATATAGAACAATAATAATTTCGCTTCTTCACCACATTGATACTTTTAAGTTATTACCTACATTATAAATATATAAATCAAAACTATAAGATGAATTTTGGGATGTTGTACCCATCTCTGTCTTATGCTCTATTGTTTTATAATTCTTACTAACACAGGACATGGAACATTTTATGTTTAGAATCTATTTTACTTAATTCTTAATCTTATAGTGAATTGACATATACTTCCAAATTTAAAAGTAAACATTTTATCCAGCTCACTGTGTAAGCATTTTATAATTTTTTAGTATAAAGTGTTGAACATTTTAAATATGAAATGCTCATAGGCCACTTGAAAATAAAATATCATAAATTGCCTACAATATAGTGAGCCGAATAAAATTCTTAAGCTTATTTTGAATTTCAATTAACTTTTGATTATTGGTTTTATTGGAAAAATGTATATAAAGTGCTTCTAATGTATTAAAAACACATCTAGTAACCTTAAAATAAATTAACCATTATTTAACAAACTCCATAATATTAAGTTGTAATTTACAACTTGTAAAATACTGAACAAAAATTAAAAATGAATTACCTTCACAATTTTGCACATATCTAATACCACCAAATTTATTCGATGTGCCATACAATGTGTGTATATTGCAAATGAATATTTTGATTTAATTTTTGCTTGTACATCATTAAAACGCCCAGACATCACACTGGCCCCGTCATAGGACTGTGCTACAATTGCCACCTGGGGACTTAACTTGCATTCTTTAAGATATTCTAACATGAGTTGACTTAAATTCTCTGAGTCTTGTTTCATAGTAACCTAACCCTAAAATCTTTCTTTTATTTCTAATTCCTTACAATATCTTATGCATACAGCCATCTGCTCTTCTTTAAAACACCTGAAAAGTTACAATTCAAATAATCAAATTAAATGTATACAATTTCTTAACAATAAAATTGGTGTATTGAATAGCTTCGTCGCACATTATACCAAATATGCCTACATCATTGACTTCTTTTATAATAGTTCCTCTCAATATATTGGCGCATATACTTATCAATTCATTTTAAATTCCATGGCTTGTATGGTTGGTCTTTTCTTTATACTTTTGAGCAAATTCTGTGTACAATTTTGCTAACAAATTGCAGGTTTCTTTAAAATTTCCTAAAAAGTATTAATTGTTTTAATTTGAATTCTCATTTTTACAAATTATGCAATTATTATGATTCATAAGTCAGAAAAATTTTAAATACTTTGATTAAGTGAATCGATAGATTCATAGTGACCTCTGCATTCCAAACCTTGCCGACACAAAAATAATGTTACTTCACAGAGGGTTCTTATACAAAGCTGTTGTAGTAAGCTGCATTAAAGCTACGGTTTTGTTGTTTATATTTTGTCTTTGGATATGAATAAAATAAGTGAAATATAATATAATAATAACTAATAACGAAGTCATAGAACTAAGATAGTAATAAATAAGCAAATAATATATATAATATAATATGAGATATCTACCTTTAAAATTGGATGTGACAAGTTGATAAATCACCCAAATCTGCTCCACCAATATTTAATTTAGCCACATTAACATTTATATTTATGTGGTTAATCGGAGGTTGATGATCAAATGAAATCAATGAATCCCAGTCTTGTGTCGATGATGCCATTTCTTGATCATTTTCCACTATGTTCTTAGTTTTTTTATTTTCGCTATTTTTTTTATTATTAAAAATCCCGAAATATTTCAATTTATTATCTGACATATTTTCAACCAAAATTTAGAAACTTTTGAAAGAAAAATATAAGAGACAGGTAGGTACTAGGTAATAATATTCGTATTTGCACTAGTGTAAGCGTAAAACGACAACGTTAAAACGTGGATAGATATTTCGTAGGAAAGTATGAAATAATTTTAGAGGGCTGTGGATCGATTTGGGTGGCTAACCCCCCCCCCCCCCCCCGATCTCCGACTATGGTGGGTTATAGACTTATAGTCCAGTCAAATTTCGTAAAATTTGTAATCAATCAAGATACAAAATTCAAATTTTTGAATCTAATAACCTACCTACTATCTATATCTTATTGAATAGCTTCTTATTATTTTAGTATTAAGTTATATTTATTAATTATTATAGACTTTATAGTTTTTATCTACCTAATAATTTATCAAAATAATATTTGAGGTACATAAATATGATACAAAAATACAAAATCATATATTTTTTAAAGATCAACAATCTAATTAAATAAACCAAGTCACCTAGATAATATTATATGTTTTATCTACTTTATTCGCCAGGTATAATATGTGTATTTAATTAATAGTTATCCTCCTTGTAAAATCAGTAATAATACTATAACACGTGTTGTATTAAAGGAGCACACATGCACACAATACAAAAAAATATTGTGATAAAACGATAGAAGTATCAGAATTTCAATGTAACATTTACATATTAGTATATTACCAAAAAACTAACCACTTTGGAAAAATTCTGGTTCCACAAATGTTTTCAGCACATAACAATTAAAAACACTACATACACACAACAAAAATCAGAAAATATACTTTCAAGGTAGGTAAATTATCAGTGGCGCCAAACTATATTTTAAAATTGGGGGCAAGTAAAAAGTTATACGGACCATCACCCGTGTGTGCTGTATGTGCGACATATACATTATAATAGCTTATGAGTTAGGAACATAATCCATAAATAATTTGTTAGGGTACCCACGGCCGGGGCACCCACCCACCCACCCACCAAAAAAGGGGTTCGGTCGCCCTTCTTTTGTTTTAGGTTCGGCGCCACTGTAAATTATTCTGTCAAGAGACTGAAAAGAGTAACGTTTACACGTATAAGATTATTAGAGAATTACCTCGAGCCCTCCTCCAATTTTAAAAACTTGTTGAAAAGTTAATTTTTTTTAACTTAACTAGTCCATTATTTTTGTTTTCAACTTATTAACTTATTCAGTTAAAATGTTAAATGTTGTAACTTAACTTTTTATAGGTAGTTAATTATCATTGTCGTGCAGTTAAGTTAATTTTCTTTTTCGAGTCATGCGTAGCGAGCGTAGGTAATCAACTAGAACAATACTGACTCGTCAACTCTTTTTCGATTTTGGTCATTTATTTTCGAATTATATATTATAATAATCTAATTTTGGGGAATTGTACTATAAATTAAGAGGATGACGCCGTCACTGAGTCGCTCCCGCATGCGTGTTGTCTCTGTCAACACAAAACGAAACACACGTACACACCCACAAACTTTTAGGTAACAACGTTATCTGTGTTCTCTCGTTGGTTTTTTATGATATTTTAATTTAGGTGAGTTATGAGTTTTTTCAAAAATTAATAATTTACATACTGATAACTCACTTAAAAATTAAAATATCGTAAAAAACCAACGAGAGAACACAAATAATGTTGTTATACCTAAAAATTTGATAATAGGTCAGTTCACTCTAAAATCAAAAATGACAGCACCCTATTAAAACTAGAGAACGAACATTTGGTATGTGTGGTAATTCGTACGTGTGTAAGACGGAGACAACACACGTGGGTGCGACGTTCTCTTAAAGCATTTCCCATCGTTTTTATCAAGATTCAAGATTAACATGCCCTGTATATATAAATTGTATATATATTAATATAAGTACTCTAAAAGTTTCATATACCCACGAATAATATTTTTGAATTACAACAAACTAAAATCTTTATTCTTGGTTTTAATACGTAATTTCGTCCAAATTTGAACTCAAAATGTCTGTAAAAATTAACTATGTTTATAATATATTTTTTTAGATATTTTTGCTTATTACAGCTTGATATTAATTATTTTTATTTATGAGAATCCTTGTTCAATCTTTAGCTATAAAAATTGAACATTTTATAATTTTTCAACTACAATGAATTTGAAAATTTTCGATATTTTGATAAATGTGGTCAAAATTTGAACTTATAATAAAAAATCGTAACTATGGATCTTTAATACTTATTAACTGCTATTATAATAACTTAAATAACCTCGTAAAATATTTAGAAAGTTTTATAATGTATGGAATATGATAAAACAAACATTTGATGCAAATGTAGATACTTGAAAGATCAATATTCAAGAAAAAGAGAGTTTGTTAAATTACGGGTGAATATCCAACGTCCAACTTCAAATGCTCGTAAAAAATTAATTTGACTCTCCGATAAACTTTTTTTTTGTCAAATATAGTAAAATTTAAGGGGGTCTTGTATAACATTTTAAAATATAATGTCTAATACCTACGCATATAATCTGTGGTACTACAGTAAAATATAATATAGTGCATTTTTCAAAGTTAGGTTATGCTTATGACTTATGAGTTATGGGCAATAAATAGTTTATTAATTTTCTTAGAACTTAACTAACTAATTGATAGTTAAGATAACTTGCCTTTTTCAGATGTTTTTGGATTCCATAAAGTTAAAATTAATTATTGAAATAACTAAAAAGTATAGTGTAAAGATATGTACCTAAAGTGCATATAAATAATTAGGTATCTAACGATATTAAAATAATAGCTACTTAATTTAATTTAAAAATATATTTTCATGATTTATAATATGTGAGAGTTAGTGACTTTTTATGACACCAAAACCACCCTTGAGGAAAGGGGAACACTTTCCTCATGACCTGTGAGCCGCACCGCGTGAGACCCGAGGGTCAAGTCGGTGGAGCTCACAGGCTTTGATACACGCAACGGCAAGCTGAATGCCGAGGATTTATGTTGGGAGAGAGAGAAGAAAAAAAAATAAGTTAATGAAAATAAATAATAAGAGCAGTATTAGGGTAATCACGTGGATGTATTTTACAGGTTTTTTTTGATTGTAGATAATTTAAGTAAGATTTTGACATTTTTCATTTTAACAAAATAATATAGCATGGCACATGGCAAGTAGGTACAAGATATAAACGGCACATGGGAAACAAAAAAAACGCTCGGCCCACGGGGATCGACACTTCACATTACTCTTGGTGGTCTCCACAGGGTTACCGGGGCAGTTTAGAGGATTTGGGGGGGGCGAAGGGTCGAAACGTCTGTAAGTGTGGTCCGGGGCCTCTTACTTAAACACGCACAGGGACAGCTGGTTTTTTACGCCAGCCGTATGTGAACGCGTAGGAGGTTACCCGCTAGGCCCCAATGGCAACCACACTTTGACGTTCTGCAACGCACATTTTACAAGTGTGATTTTAAGTGACAAGACAAAATAAAAAAAAAAAGGGGGAAAATTGTGTAGGTATTACTCTGACGACGTTGAGATGTGTTGTTGAACGAGGAACTGGATGGGCTGGTTAATACCACCGGCACACACGCGGCCGGCATGGCCCATCTTGTCGTCGATCAAACCGCCTAGGATGGTGACGGCGACACGGATGTTGACTGGTTCAGCAGCTTTGCCCACCATCGGGCCCGTGAGCGGTACTTAGCCCATCATGGCGGTTGGTTCCTGTAGATGAAAAAAACAATAATACGTGTTTGTGCAACACCACCGTTGCTCCGCTGGACATCGCGTCGGGTGTCGAACATTCGCGAAGTTGACCCCCCGACCCCCTCCACCACCCTGGATCGCGCCAGCGTCGCGCTTTCCAGCCGCGGGCTATCGCCGCAAACTAGTTCTCTCTCGTACGTCCGTCCGTGCTTGGCCGGTCGTGTGTTTTCGTTTTGTGTTTTTTCGTACCCACGCCATATTTGACCGTTGTGTTGTGTTCGTCCCCGGATCCATCCGGAGAACGCGTTTTTCTTTCGTTTACACGCTTTCAACCGTTTACACGCCGTTGTGCATACGCGCGTGCTCTCGCATCGTATTTAGTCTGTGCTCGGCCGTTTCGACCACGTTTGTGTCAACGCGCCATTCCGGTCCTGTTGTCAGTACCGTCGATTCCGAAAGTCATTCACCGTACGTGTGACTAACCACCGACCGCGTTCTTATTATACCTTGCTCGATTGTCGCGTGGTTGAGTGCGTATTTGCATCCCCGTTCGCCGGTCCCTAGTGGTTCGTGATCGGCCGATTTTGTGTTGTCACTAGGGATGGGAAAAAATAACAGGAACAGTGATTTATAACAGTTATTACTCTAGTAACAATAACAAGCTGTTACTTGAGGAAAAAAATAACTGTTACGATTATTTTGATTATTTGAGTTTTTAAATTTGGTCTTACTGACTCCGCGTTATATACTGTTACTGCTGTTACTGGCTGTTACTGCGGTACCGCCCTTATTGTCTGTTAACCTGTTATCAATATTGTAAACTGTTACACTGTTATTAGTTGTTACTGGTTATTTGGTTATTGATATTTGTGACCGTGATATTTATTATAAAAACAAAAGTTGCTACTTAGTACTTATGTCTTATTGTTCATTTTTATTTGAAACATTTTAGTTTTTGGTATTTTCTATTTACTGTTTGTTTTTGATACTTGATAGTTGATACTGACATATTTATAACCTACAATCAAGAACAATAAATATAATATGTATATTATAAATTTTAATAGTAAGTAATACAGTTAATTATAAAATAATAAAGAATATCAACCACAAAGGCTCAAAATAATAATAATTAGTAGGCACTAGGCAGCTTCATACCTCTGTTATAGCTTAGAATTATAATTATAAAAGGTGTTCATAAAAATAATATCAATCAAGTACCTATGTAACTAAAAGTTAATTCATACAAATAATGAATAAAAAACTTATATAACTTATAAGCATAATTATTAATTATATCAATAACAAAAAATGTAATAATAAATAATAAACTATTTGTTATAGTATATAAAACCCTTATAAAACTAATGAAAAAAAAAAACAGAAAATCGTAATGTTTGCTTATGATATAACTATAATAACCCTTGTAATCCTTTTAAGCGAAAAAATTGTATGTTATTTTTAAAAAAAATATGTTTTAATACCTTCTGTAATATAATAAATTCCATAAAAATAAAATATATAAATGGAGCAATCTTAATATTATCAAGAAATAAAATCATAATAATAAAATTGGAATTTAAATTAATACTGTAATAGTTAATTTGAATTATAGTTGAGGAATAAAAGCATTTTAACTTTATCATTTTTCAGACGACAACGACGGTCATTTAAAATTAATCCAGCCTTCGAAAACACTCTTTCACACGGTACTGATGTACCTAAACAGCATAGTGTTCTTTTTGCTAATATGTGTAGATACGGATAGTTATAACTATTTTCACGCCACCAATTTAACGGATCGTTATTTCTTTGCAGTATAGCAACTTCTAAATAACGTTGGACTTCAATGATTGCACGAGATGTTGATGTTCCAGTAGGTAGTACCTCTGCTGCATTACGATCAATTGTATCCCAAATTGATATACTTTGATGTCCAAAAGTTTGCAAGTCCCGTACCTCTTCAGAACCATTCTCAGGTGGTGGAATTTGTTCATTACGTTCTGCTGTTTGGTTGTTTTCAATTCGAATAATCCCCGTCAATTGTTCAATGATATCATCTTTTGTGGTCTCAAGAATAGATGTACTATGCAAAAAAGGTATATTTTTGAAACGAGGGTCTAAAAATGTGCTTCGGTGTAATGTTCTACTTTTTTCTAAATTTTTCCAGGTGTCTTTTTCAAGCATAGTACACAATAGCTTGTTTACAATATCAAGAACTCTAGTGTTATAATTCATTTTAGACATTTTATGGCATACATCAACTAGACCCTGAGACAAAACAATGACCAGTGAAGCTGTCATAAATTTTTCTCCGCTTACTACTCTGGTAGCTTCTTCAAAAGGCTTAAGTACTTGGCACATTTCTTTTAGAATTACCCATTCTTCACCCTTAAGGTTTTCCGGCGCTTTATCCAGTAAACCTAATGTACCACGAATAGAATCCTCCAATTCAACAAACCTACTTATCATATAAAACGTTGAGTTCCAACGAGTCTGAACATCTTGAATCAATTTTTTTGGTTGACTGATGCCATTATTAATTTGATAAGTATGTAGTTTATTATTTGCCACAGTACTTTTTCTAAAATGTGTAACAATTGCCTTTACTCGATCTAACAAACTAATTTCCAGTGTAAGGGAAGATTGAACGACAAGATTCATAGTATGTGCAAAACATCCCACGGATTTCAGCTGTAATATATTTAATGCGTTTTTTATATTATTGGCATTGTCCGAAACAGCAAGAACAACTTTTTTTTCAAATTCCATTCATCTAATGTTTGTTTTATTTTTTCACTTAAATTTACTCCTGTGTGATGATCATTAAATTCAAAACACCCAAGGAGAACTGAACGTAAGCTGAAATTACTATCGATGAAATGAATAGTGACAGCCATAAAACTTTCATTGTTACGAGAAGTCCAACAATCGGTTGTCATACAGACACTTTCAGCTTCCTTCTCAACCAACTCTTTCATTTCAAAAACACATTTTTCATATAAAGCTGGTATATATGTTTTGGATATAGAGTGTCTATCAGGAAGAATATAGTTTGGATTTAACAGTTTCACAAATTCCTTAAACCCTTCATCTTCTACTACTCTAAATGGTTGGTAGTCTTTTGTAAATAATTTTAAAAGAGCCCCATCAATTTTTTTTTTACTTTCAACAGTCATTCTTTTAGGAACATAACCAATTATGCTAGTTTGCTTACGTTTACGTGCAACTTCAGTTGGCCTCGACATACAAATACTGGCTGATGAAGATACAGGTGCCATTGATGATCCAGATGTAGAAGGTTGAGGATCACGAGTTTCTGAGTCGTCTGGATTGTCAATATTATCATGGTGTGTGTTCTTAAAAATATAAATATAAACATTAAGTTAAATTACTTTTTATGCTTTTTTTGTTTATTATATTTATGATTGAAACTTACTTGATTTTGACTCACTAGATTATTGGCTGGTGAACAGTTTATTAAGTGTCGGTTGGATAAATGTTTTTTCAAATTTGTAAGTGTGGATTTATAAGAGTATTTACGTTTACAAATATCACATTTTGCGTGAATTCCATCAATTATAGTAAAATGTTCCCAAACACTACTATATCGATTATTATCCATGTTAATATAACTAATTACTATTTATTAATATGGATTTTACTAAAACAAAATGTAATTACAGAGATGGACTTGATCAGATCACAACTCAGAATACTTATGAAGAAAATAAAACAGACCAAATATGTCTTATCTGGTTTCTTTTTGCACAAAGTACAGACATGCGAGAACTGGAATACTTTTTTAGTTAAAAATATGTTCAAATAAAACCTATAATTACATGAAAAAATAAAATGACTATAAATAGAATCGTTTTAATTATTTGTGGTATTCATTGACATACAACAATGACTATTTTAGTTTCAGTTTCAGTTTATAGAAAACCATTAAATATTATATTAATAGATAATAATAATATGTAAAACTTTTATTATTTATGTATGTTTGTGCAACACCACCGTTACTCCGCTGGACATCGCGTCGGGTGTCGAACATTCGCGAAGTTGACCCCCCGACCCCCTCCACCACCCTGGATCGCGCCGCGTCGCGCTTCCAGCCGCGGGCTATCGCCGCAAAACTAGTTCTCTCCGCACGTCCGTGCTTGGCAGGTCGAATTGTCGTTTTCGTACCCGCGCCATCGTTGTCGTTGATGTGGTGTCCGGATCTGTTCGTCGACCACGTTTTTCGTTCGCGCACACGCCGTTTTTGTATACGCGCGTTTTCCGCTCGTTGTGTTCTCCTCATACTTGGCCGTTCCCGACCTCCACGTGTGTCAACGTGCCAGTCCGTTACTGACTTAGGTAACGTTGTTTGTAGTCTCATTCACCGTAGTGCGTGTTCGGACCCCCCTTGTCGTCCATCACCGTACGCGTGAATAATCTTCGATCGCGCTCGTGCGTTTTACCGTGTACGCTTTTCGCGTTGTTAAGTGCGTCCCCGTTCGCTGATCCATCGTGGGTCGCGATCGGCCGAATTCGGGTTTTTCCCTAATTTGCCACTGCACCCTGTGGTACGCCGTTACGCCGCGAGCGCCGCACCAGTCAGGTGTGCCAATTCCGTCATCGCCGGTGCGTTCGAGCGGTGCACCGTTCCCATCGTGTTGCTGTCAGTTGGTACCAGTGTTGTCATCGTCGTGTCCAGTCGTCCAGGGGTCAGCTGTTATCAGTCCAGGCCGTTGTCACCACCACCACCGGCAGATAAGATTTATTTTGTTATTATTTATATATATTATTTTGTACATCGCCATTCCCAAATATTAGGTCATTGTAAGGTATGATCATACCCCCCTGATTATAACACTATTGTTTTTGACTAGTTTGTAATAATACAGTTGTTCAGTGCCACCAGGGCACACCTTCAATTTGTTCGCTTATTTACTAGTTTTGTAAGTTGTAAGGTTACCTACTCTTAGTCACACACCGGTTACGAGATATTCTTACCCGTCGCAAGTGTCGTACGGCCGGCTAGCGAGACGACGTCAATAGCTCCGTCCGGTGCGCATACATTTTGGTAGCAGAGCGTGGTTAGGAACCTTATGGGGGGTCCCAGCCAAGCGGCGTAGTGAATTATCAGCCTTTGTGTGACATATAGCTACTTGTAATCATTCAAGATGGTCGAGACCAAGAAAGAATTCGCTGAACGCGAGGAGCGCCGTCGCGCGATCGCAGCCCTGAAGCGGGAGTCCGCGATTGAGGGTATAAAGGCGGTGCATGCCATGATACCACGCGCGAATTCCGAGCCGGACTTCGTACCCGAATTTATTTTAAATGTTGACGGGTTAGATGCGGGGTGGTCTCAGTATGAAGCGGAAGATAACACGGTATTAGAATGCCTTGTTAACTTAGGTAAGGCCAGTGAATATACCCCCGGACAATCGGGTGAATTACGAATTTTGATTAATTCCGCGAAAGCTGCCGCGAATTTACTTCGTCCGACTCGCACAGCGCCCACCGCGGGCCAAAACGTCGGTAACTCATCGTCCGTGTTCGACGCGTCGTCCGGTCCAACGTTACCGCGACTTCCGGAAATCCCCCTACCGAGATTTGGAGGCGATTTTCGCTTGTGGCCGACTTTTCGTGATACATTCATTAAGCAAGTCGATAGCCGCCAATACCTGTCGAACGTAGATAAGTTATATTATTTGACTGGGTGTTTGCATGGTGCAGCCTTGGATGCGATTCGCAGTATACCCGCGTCCGATGATAACTATCAGTTGATATGGTCAACTTTGTCCGCGCGTTTCTACCGCCCGCGTATGGTCGCGACTTCGCTATTAGAAAAAGTGTTAAACGCGCCGTCGTCGTCGCAGGAGTCATTGCACGACTTAACCGTTTTTTTATCTACATTTGACGAAAACATTTCGTTATTATCCGCGATGGACATTCCCGACCTCGGGTCGTTCATCCTGTTTACGTCGGCTTTCCGTGCGTTACCGCTCGCCACTCGCAAATTATTCGAATCCACCATGACAAGTGACGACGTTTATCCATCAGTCGATAAACTGCTGAAATTCGTGCGGGATCGTATTACCGTCTTAGAAAATGTGGGCGAGCCGCGGAAGACTAGTGCCAAGCCGAAGCCACAGCCTGTTACCGGGCCGTACGTTAGTCACCGCGCGGGGAAAAGTAATCCCGTGGCGCTCGTCGCCGCGAAACCAACGGAGCGTCATTCACAGACTCCTACCAGCTCATGTTCATGCTGTCAGGGTTCACACAGCATCAGCGCGTGTCCGAAGTTCCGATCATGGTCATTGGACGATCGGAATCGATGGGCCCATGAAAATAAAGTTTGTTTTAATTGCCTCAGCGGTAATCATTTTATCCGCGCCTGTTCGTCCAAGTCGCGATGTCACCAGTGTTCGAAAAAACATCACACGTTGTTACATGGTGTTACTCCCAACCGTCAAGAGGAAGGCGGTGAAAGTGGGGGGGAAACACCGTCGTGTTGCGCGGCCGCGTTGGCACCGCGCCCGAGTGCGATACCAACGGTTTTGTTAGGCACTGCGTTGATTCACGCTCGCGACAGGGCCGGTACGTGGCAAACAGTTCGCGCGTTGGTCGACTCCGCGTCCCAGATAAGTGCCATGACAGTCGAGTGTTCCACCCGCTTAGGATTCCGGCCCCGTCCGTGGACCATGCCAGTCAGTGGCATATCCGGTACACCTGTCGTCAGCGTGAAGGGCATCGTCGAATGTCACATCCGGCCGCGTTTTGCGTCCGAACCATCGCTGACTGTGCAAGCGTGGGTGCTGCCTTCAATCACTAGTGACATGCCGCGCACCTCAATCCCCGTCGACATTAAGGACCGATTTTCCACCCTCGCGCTCGCCGATCCGCAGTTCAACGTCGCGTCACCGGTCGACATGTTACTCGGGGCCGACGTGTTTTCAGCGATATTGGATGGTCGTCAAATCAAAATCGACGAGGCACTGCCCACGGCATTCAGTTCGATTTTCGGTTGGGTCCTCATTGGACCACTGCCAGCGACCGCCACTTGTCATGTCTTCACCACACCGGTGTCATTAGCGACATCCATCGAGAATCTAATGGACAAGTTTTGGTCAGTTGAAGAACCGGACGCTGCACCTCCTTCCTTCACCGACGACGGTTGGTGTGAGAGTCACTTCCGCGCTGAACACACACGTTTACCGTCTGGGCGATTTCAAGTGCCGCTGCCGACGCGTAAGCCGGTATCCGAGTTGTCATTCCCGGGTTCGCGTTCCGTCGCGCTAAAACGTTTTGAGTCGCTCGAACGTAAGTTGATGTCTAACCCGACTCTGCGCGTGGCATATTGTGCCTTTATGTCTGAATACTTGTCGCTCGGCCATATGTCCGTGGCAGCGACACCGGGGCGATATGTCATCCCCCACCATGCCGTATGTAACCAGTCCAACGGAGACTTAAAAATCCGCGTTGTGTTCGACGCTTCGGCAGTGTCCCATGACGGGACGTCACTAAACGGCTGTCTAATGCAAGGTCCGAAGTTACAGCAAGACATCGTCGACATTCTAACCAGGTTCCGGGTGAACAAGTACGCGTTCACCACTGACATCTGCAAAATGTACCGGCAGGTGATGGTGGCGCCCGAGTACCGGCCGCTGCAACACATCCTATGGCGTGCGTCACCTCACGACCAGCTTGTCGAATACGAATTAAACACCGTGACGTATGGCCTGAACTGCGCTCCGTTCTTGGCACTCCGCGTGCTGGCTGCGATCGCCGAGGTGGATTGCGTCGGTCATGAGGGAGTACGGCAGGCGTTGCTGCACCAAACCTATGTCGACGACATATGTACGGGGGGCGACACAATCGACGATGTTTGTACGCTCCAAAGGGAGATGATCGCGGTGCTCGGCAACTCCGGTCTGGAATTGAAGAAGTGGTCGAGTAACTGTCCCGCGATCCTCAACGGTGTACCCGCGTCCGACTGTGTGACCGGTCCTTTATCGTTCGATGCTGTGGATGGGATCGGGGTCAAGGTTCTCGGCTTGCAATGGCAGCCGACAGATGACGTTTTTAGGTGTGCCCTCCGGTGCGATGCGCCACCCGTATTCACCAAACGCGGCGTCTTATCATTAATCGCGCGTATTTTCGATCCGTTGGGCATATTCGCGCCGGCCACTTTCTACGCGAAGCACATAATGCAACGGACGTGGTCATGCAACCTTGGCTAGGATGACCCTCTTCCGAAGGATCTCCATCAAGAATGGTCCACTTTCGTTGAATCGTTGGCCTGCCTCCTTCAGATTAACATTCCGCGACACTTCAACACGCAGTCCGCCGACCGTTGTTTATTGTTGGGATTTTGTGATGCGTCACAGCATGGTTGCGCAGCTGTCGTATACCTCCGCGTGTTGGACGACCGGGAGGACGTTTCGATTTCGTTGGTCGGCGCAAAAACCAAGCTAGCGCCGATAAAATCATTGACCATCCCGCGGCTCGAGTTGAACGCCGCTGAGTTGTTGGCGCGTTGGTTATACCGCGTCAAGTGTATTCTCGACCGTCAGGTCAACATCGTCGGTGTACATGCTTGGACGGACTCAACGATTGTCCTGTCCTGGTTGGTCAATCGCCACGAATCGTTTAAAATATACGTGTCAAATCGGGTACACAGAATTAACACGCTACTACCGAGTTGCGTGTGGGCACACATTCCGTCCACGGACAACCCCGCCGATTGTGCTTCGCGCGGTGTGTTACCGTCCGAGCTTCCAGCGTTAAAGCTTTATTGGCAGGGCCCTGAGTTTCTACGTCGTTGTCCGTCATCGTGGCCGGTCGGGGCCACCATGCTGCCGCTGAGCGATTTGCCCGAAGTGCGGGTTTTGTCAGTGACTGTCGACGATCAACCTCCCGTTGTTGAATGGTTCGACGAGTTTTCGTCTTATGACAAATTGATTCGCGTTGTCGCCCGTGTGTATCGATTTATAGATCGTTGCCGCCGCCGCGCATTGGTTACGCGACGGGCGGTCCTCACCCGTTATGAACTCGACGCGGCACTTGATGCGCTGGTGATCGAGTCACAGCGTAAGTTTTTTGTACAATTACGGCACGAGTTATCTCACCGTCTCCGTGTGTCGTCCAAACCACTCGGCCGTTTATGCCCGTTTATTGATCCTTCCGGCGTCATTCGAGTGGGTGGGCGATTGCGTCACTCGATGCTGCCATATGACCGTCAGCACCCGATTCTATTAGCAAAACATTCACGCTTGGCCTTGTTGGTGTGTCGTCATTGGCATCGCATCAGCTGTCATGCCGGACCTCGAGTCGTGACCGCCATTGTGTCCCAGCAATTTTGGATCATGTCTGTGAGATCAGTGCTACATCAAGTCAGCAGTGAGTGTACCAGCTGCGTCCGATTTGACCATCAACCACCTCAACCGTTGATGGCTGATCTGCCACCAGGCCGTGTCCAACAGTGCCGGCCGTTCGCTCGAGTGGGTATTGATTTCGCAGGTCCATTGCAGCTACAAGAGACCCGCCTTCGCAAATCACGGTCGTATAAAGTGTATATAGCTGTTTTTGTGTGCTTCGCGGTGAAGGCGTGTCACCTCGAGGTTGTGACCGAGTTATCTACGGCCGCGTTCCTTGCTGCATTCGACCGATTTGTTGCTCGGCGTGGTCTGCCATCCGACATTTTCAGCGACTGCGGGACCAATTTCGTGGGTGCCGATCGACAATTGCATACGCTGATCAATAGCCCGGAGGGACAATCCGCGCTAGGCGACTCTCGTCCGCATTGTTCCTGGCATTTCAACCCGCCCAGTGCGCCACATTTCGGCGGATTGTGGGAGGCTGCGGTCCGGTCGACAAAAAGGTTATTGATTCGCGTCATGGGTCGTCATCACTTCACTTACGAAGAATTCACGACGGTGCTGTGTCGAGTGGAGGCCGTGCTCAACTCCAGGCCACTCACACCGTTGTCATCCGATCCAGCCGACTTGGACTACCTATCGCCGGGACACTTTCTTATCGGCCAACCACTACTTGCCGTGCCGCCTCGGACATCGACAGAGGACAAGTCTAGTCTGGTGAACCGGTGGAAGTTGTTGGACCAATGTCACCAGGCGTTTTGGCGACAATGGTCCACCGAGTACTTGACCACACTGCAGGCACGCACAAAGTGGTCGAGCGGGTCCCCCAATATCCGTCTAAACGATGTCGTCGTCATCCGGGACAACCAGTCTCCCCCATTGTCGTGGCGAATGGGACGGGTGATCGCACTGTTGCCGGGAGCCGACGGTGTAGTACGCGTGGTCCGTTTGCGAACCGCCCACGGCGAAGTGACTCGCCCTGTAGTGAAGTTGGTCGTCCTGCCCACCGAAGGGACCTGCCCAGGTACCCCCTGTTAGGTGATACCCACGCTCTGTTCGCCTATGTGTTTCTCCCGCTACATACGCGAACTCCATTATATTTAAGTTTTTTTTGTATACTTGTGCTACTGTAACAGCACCCCCCTTATTTTAGTTTATATTTTGTTGTATTTTTTTTTTGTTGTTTGGTGGTAAGTGGTAACAGGCCAGAACTGACTCCGTGAAGCCGTCGTCATCATCCAGTTATACCAATGCATCAGCGGATGTGAGGCTGCGCCTCCCATGGGGGGGAGTATGTTTGTGCAACACCACCGTTACTCCGCTGGACATCGCGTCGGGTGTCGAACATTCGCGAAGTTGACCCCCCGACCCCCTCCACCACCCTGGATCGCGCCGCGTCGCGCTTCCAGCCGCGGGCTATCGCCGCAAAACTAGTTCTCTCCGCACGTCCGTGCTTGGCAGGTCGAATTGTCGTTTTCGTACCCGCGCCATCGTTGTCGTTGATGTGGTGTCCGGATCTGTTCGTCGACCACGTTTTTCGTTCGCGCACACGCCGTTTTTGTATACGCGCGTTTTCCGCTCGTTGTGTTCTCCTCATACTTGGCCGTTCCCGACCTCCACGTGTGTCAACGTGCCAGTCCGTTACTGACTTAGGTAACGTTGTTTGTAGTCTCATTCACCGTAGTGCGTGTTCGGACCCCCCTTGTCGTCCATCACCGTACGCGTGAATAATCTTCGATCGCGCTCGTGCGTTTTACCGTGTACGCTTTTCGCGTTGTTAAGTGCGTCCCCGTTCGCTGATCCATCGTGGGTCGCGATCGGCCGAATTCGGGTTTTTCCCTAATTTGCCACTGCACCCTGTGGTACGCCGTTACGCCGCGAGCGCCGCACCAGTCAGGTGTGCCAATTCCGTCATCGCCGGTGCGTTCGAGCGGTGCACCGTTCCCATCGTGTTGCTGTCAGTTGGTACCAGTGTTGTCATCGTCGTGTCCAGTCGTCCAGGGGTCAGCTGTTATCAGTCCAGGCCGTTGTCACCACCACCACCGGCAGATAAGATTTATTTTGTTATTATTTATATATATTATTTTGTACATCGCCATTCCCAAATATTAGGTCATTGTAAGGTATGATCATACCCCCCTGATTATAACACTATTGTTTTTGACTAGTTTGTAATAATACAGTTGTTCAGTGCCACCAGGGCACACCTTCAATTTGTTCGCTTATTTACTAGTTTTGTAAGTTGTAAGGTTACCTACTCTTAGTCACACACCGGTTACGAGATATTCTTACCCGTCGCAAGTGTCGTACGGCCGGCTAGCGAGACGACGTCAATAGCTCCGTCCGGTGCGCATACATTTTGGTAGCAGAGCGTGGTTAGGAACCTTATGGGGGGTCCCAGCCAAGCGGCGTAGTGAATTATCAGCCTTTGTGTGACATATAGCTACTTGTAATCATTCAAGATGGTCGAGACCAAGAAAGAATTCGCTGAACGCGAGGAGCGCCGTCGCGCGATCGCAGCCCTGAAGCGGGAGTCCGCGATTGAGGGTATAAAGGCGGTGCATGCCATGATACCACGCGCGAATTCCGAGCCGGACTTCGTACCCGAATTTATTTTAAATGTTGACGGGTTAGATGCGGGGTGGTCTCAGTATGAAGCGGAAGATAACACGGTATTAGAATGCCTTGTTAACTTAGGTAAGGCCAGTGAATATACCCCCGGACAATCGGGTGAATTACGAATTTTGATTAATTCCGCGAAAGCTGCCGCGAATTTACTTCGTCCGACTCGCACAGCGCCCACCGCGGGCCAAAACGTCGGTAACTCATCGTCCGTGTTCGACGCGTCGTCCGGTCCAACGTTACCGCGACTTCCGGAAATCCCCCTACCGAGATTTGGAGGCGATTTTCGCTTGTGGCCGACTTTTCGTGATACATTCATTAAGCAAGTCGATAGCCGCCAATACCTGTCGAACGTAGATAAGTTATATTATTTGACTGGGTGTTTGCATGGTGCAGCCTTGGATGCGATTCGCAGTATACCCGCGTCCGATGATAACTATCAGTTGATATGGTCAACTTTGTCCGCGCGTTTCTACCGCCCGCGTATGGTCGCGACTTCGCTATTAGAAAAAGTGTTAAACGCGCCGTCGTCGTCGCAGGAGTCATTGCACGACTTAACCGTTTTTTTATCTACATTTGACGAAAACATTTCGTTATTATCCGCGATGGACATTCCCGACCTCGGGTCGTTCATCCTGTTTACGTCGGCTTTCCGTGCGTTACCGCTCGCCACTCGCAAATTATTCGAATCCACCATGACAAGTGACGACGTTTATCCATCAGTCGATAAACTGCTGAAATTCGTGCGGGATCGTATTACCGTCTTAGAAAATGTGGGCGAGCCGCGGAAGACTAGTGCCAAGCCGAAGCCACAGCCTGTTACCGGGCCGTACGTTAGTCACCGCGCGGGGAAAAGTAATCCCGTGGCGCTCGTCGCCGCGAAACCAACGGAGCGTCATTCACAGACTCCTACCAGCTCATGTTCATGCTGTCAGGGTTCACACAGCATCAGCGCGTGTCCGAAGTTCCGATCATGGTCATTGGACGATCGGAATCGATGGGCCCATGAAAATAAAGTTTGTTTTAATTGCCTCAGCGGTAATCATTTTATCCGCGCCTGTTCGTCCAAGTCGCGATGTCACCAGTGTTCGAAAAAACATCACACGTTGTTACATGGTGTTACTCCCAACCGTCAAGAGGAAGGCGGTGAAAGTGGGGGGGAAACACCGTCGTGTTGCGCGGCCGCGTTGGCACCGCGCCCGAGTGCGATACCAACGGTTTTGTTAGGCACTGCGTTGATTCACGCTCGCGACAGGGCCGGTACGTGGCAAACAGTTCGCGCGTTGGTCGACTCCGCGTCCCAGATAAGTGCCATGACAGTCGAGTGTTCCACCCGCTTAGGATTCCGGCCCCGTCCGTGGACCATGCCAGTCAGTGGCATATCCGGTACACCTGTCGTCAGCGTGAAGGGCATCGTCGAATGTCACATCCGGCCGCGTTTTGCGTCCGAACCATCGCTGACTGTGCAAGCGTGGGTGCTGCCTTCAATCACTAGTGACATGCCGCGCACCTCAATCCCCGTCGACATTAAGGACCGATTTTCCACCCTCGCGCTCGCCGATCCGCAGTTCAACGTCGCGTCACCGGTCGACATGTTACTCGGGGCCGACGTGTTTTCAGCGATATTGGATGGTCGTCAAATCAAAATCGACGAGGCACTGCCCACGGCATTCAGTTCGATTTTCGGTTGGGTCCTCATTGGACCACTGCCAGCGACCGCCACTTGTCATGTCTTCACCACACCGGTGTCATTAGCGACATCCATCGAGAATCTAATGGACAAGTTTTGGTCAGTTGAAGAACCGGACGCTGCACCTCCTTCCTTCACCGACGACGGTTGGTGTGAGAGTCACTTCCGCGCTGAACACACACGTTTACCGTCTGGGCGATTTCAAGTGCCGCTGCCGACGCGTAAGCCGGTATCCGAGTTGTCATTCCCGGGTTCGCGTTCCGTCGCGCTAAAACGTTTTGAGTCGCTCGAACGTAAGTTGATGTCTAACCCGACTCTGCGCGTGGCATATTGTGCCTTTATGTCTGAATACTTGTCGCTCGGCCATATGTCCGTGGCAGCGACACCGGGGCGATATGTCATCCCCCACCATGCCGTATGTAACCAGTCCAACGGAGACTTAAAAATCCGCGTTGTGTTCGACGCTTCGGCAGTGTCCCATGACGGGACGTCACTAAACGGCTGTCTAATGCAAGGTCCGAAGTTACAGCAAGACATCGTCGACATTCTAACCAGGTTCCGGGTGAACAAGTACGCGTTCACCACTGACATCTGCAAAATGTACCGGCAGGTGATGGTGGCGCCCGAGTACCGGCCGCTGCAACACATCCTATGGCGTGCGTCACCTCACGACCAGCTTGTCGAATACGAATTAAACACCGTGACGTATGGCCTGAACTGCGCTCCGTTCTTGGCACTCCGCGTGCTGGCTGCGATCGCCGAGGTGGATTGCGTCGGTCATGAGGGAGTACGGCAGGCGTTGCTGCACCAAACCTATGTCGACGACATATGTACGGGGGGCGACACAATCGACGATGTTTGTACGCTCCAAAGGGAGATGATCGCGGTGCTCGGCAACTCCGGTCTGGAATTGAAGAAGTGGTCGAGTAACTGTCCCGCGATCCTCAACGGTGTACCCGCGTCCGACTGTGTGACCGGTCCTTTATCGTTCGATGCTGTGGATGGGATCGGGGTCAAGGTTCTCGGCTTGCAATGGCAGCCGACAGATGACGTTTTTAGGTGTGCCCTCCGGTGCGATGCGCCACCCGTATTCACCAAACGCGGCGTCTTATCATTAATCGCGCGTATTTTCGATCCGTTGGGCATATTCGCGCCGGCCACTTTCTACGCGAAGCACATAATGCAACGGACGTGGTCATGCAACCTTGGCTGGGATGACCCTCTTCCGAAGGATCTCCATCAAGAATGGTCCACTTTCGTTGAATCGTTGGCCTGCCTCCTTCAGATTAACATTCCGCGACACTTCAACACGCAGTCCGCCGACCGTTGTTTATTGTTGGGATTTTGTGATGCGTCACAGCATGGTTGCGCAGCTGTCGTATACCTCCGCGTGTTGGACGACCGGGAGGACGTTTCGATTTCGTTGGTCGGCGCAAAAACCAAGCTAGCGCCGATAAAATCATTGACCATCCCGCGGCTCGAGTTGAACGCCGCTGAGTTGTTGGCGCGTTGGTTATACCGCGTCAAGTGTATTCTCGACCGTCAGGTCAACATCGTCGGTGTACATGCTTGGACGGACTCAACGATTGTCCTGTCCTGGTTGGTCAATCGCCACGAATCGTTTAAAATATACGTGTCAAATCGGGTACACAGAATTAACACGCTACTACCGAGTTGCGTGTGGGCACACATTCCGTCCACGGACAACCCCGCCGATTGTGCTTCG